ACGGGGTACGCCTTTTTATTCAAATACCGAAAAAGTCAACCGATGCTCGAGATTATATGAACCGTCTGCAGTTAAGGATAAACTCAGAGATGATTTACGACGAGTAGAATAAATATAACAGGATAACAGAATTTAATTTTCAGAGTGTCAGAAGAGGTCATTAAATTTTTTATTGGTCTTTATCCAAAAACAAAAGAATTAATAATTCTGCAAATTTTGTTCCACTGGAAGATTCGAATTATTTGAAGTTAGTAGCTATAGATTTCCATATAATCAGTCCATCATTGGAACATTCTTACTGCCTCAAATGGAACTGCCACTGAGTACTTTCAATGAGTCTTACTTCCTTAACCATACATTGATAAAATGAAGGATGCACTGGACTCAACAACGTCATCAATGTATTCGTGGAATGGTTTATTGGAATATGTTATGTACGAGGTGTGTAAATTAAGTAATGAGATTGAAGACTATTTTTTAAAAATTCTTATTCAATAGGACTACAATTCATCACCCAAAAAAAAGGGGGGGGGACCCCGTCCCCCCCAAAAAAACCTTGGGAAGCCACATAGCGCTGGAGATGTTCTTTCATTCCTCATAGCAACTCACTATATTATTTCGCTTTTCTCTGTCAACGTAGCGCCCGATCTAGCAAAACTGCGGAGACGGGACTTGGCACCTTCCGTACAAGTTGGAACTTGTTACAGTCATTTGTTTGTGACTGATTTCGTAAACCGGATTTTTCTAGTGCGTTTTAAAATTCAGCGTCATTAATTTGAGCAACGGTATGGTATCAGGTTTTCTTCAGACTTTCGGACACAGCGCATTAGATTCTTTTGCAAAACTTCAACATGCCTAAGCAGACAGTATTTTTTCAAGAGCCCAGATTTTTCCGTGGTTTAAGGCATTCTTAAAAGGAAGAGAGTCGATTGAGGATGAACCATGCAGCGGAAGGCTTTCATCTTCAAGAACCGATGAAAATGTCGATAGAGTACGGGGTATTGTGCGTTCAGATAGTCGGTTGACGACAAGAATTATCGGGGAAGAGTTAAATTTGAATCACACCACTGTTCATCAGATTTTGACTAACGAATTGGGGATAAGAAAAATCTGCGCAAAAATGGCTCCAAAAAATCTTTCGCAGGAACAAAAGGATATCAGGAGAGAAGGGTGTCTTTTTGGAATCGATTGAAAATTACTGTTACCTCAGCCTCCTTATTCGCCTGATTTGAGTCCTTGTGACTTTTTTCTTTTCCCGAGATTGAAAAATCACCTCAAGGGACGTCGTTTTGGAACCATAAAAAACATACAAATGGTTGTAACCGACCAGCTGAAGGCTATTCCAGTATATGAATTCCAGCACTGCAATGAAGAATGGAATGGAAGAACCGTCTACAGCTCTGTGTGGCTTCCTAAGGAAGTTATTTTGTAGGAGACAATACTGAACTGTAATTCTATTCGAATAAAACAATTTAAAAAAATCAGTCTCATTATTTAATTTACACCCCTCGTATGCCGTAGAAGTTTGTATTATTAAGAAAATTAATCGCGGCAGAACAAAAAGCTTTTATCATCGAAAGTTACTTTATAAATGGTAGAAGGGTTGATAGTCAGTGGGTTTATCTAACACAAGACGGACTGGATTATTATTTCAGGATTTGGATCGAATTTCCACGTAATTTCCACAATAATCATGGATTTCGACTAGTTTCGCAAGTTTTGACTAAACCTGTGGCTTTGTTTAGCAAAACAGAAAGTGTGAATAGAAGGGAAGGCAATGGGAGACCTAAAGTTCACATTGCACAAAAAAGTGAAGAAGTGTGACAAATTGTGACATTCGACGTTTAAGTCAGCAAGTAACACTATCCAACTGAAATATGACCCGCACATGCACGCTTATGTGTGTGTTTTTTTTTAAATTATGTTTTATGCAATAACAATGACAGTATGTAAATCTTTAAAATTGATCTGCAATTAGTGATTTTCCAGACATCCAGATGTATTCTTACTTGGCAGCTTCAGCATATTAAGATCTACCAACTTGAAGACCATCGCATTGTTCCAGGTTTGCATAAAATATGTCTTAATACCCCAATATCTTAAAGCCGCAGAAAACACAATACCACGCCTCAAAATCTCATCTACTGTCGACCTAACCTCATGTCTCTTATTGAAAAGTAGGAGTTTTTTGTTTCATGATCATGATCATGATGTTCATGCACCTCAAAAAGAGCAATTAATTGTGTCTCTCCTTCACAGCGTAGCTTTCTCAGAGGTCTCCCATTTAATCTCCACAAATCTCCAGAACACAGGCTTGTAGAAACCCTCGGAGAGACCCTTTCTTTTGCACGGATCAAAAACGGCTAATCCCAAGACATGAATAAATTATCTTCATATCCTATATAGCAGTACAGAACATGAGGGTAATTTATTAAGCTAAAGTGTAACTATTCATAATGTTCTAAAAGTCTAACCAGGCCTAGTTACAACGTAACAGTTTGTATGACAAAATTAATTTTGTATAATACAGCTGATGTTCCACTAAATGCTTATGGAAACTAGGTTACTGCAATAACTACGTAGATATATAAAAATGTATTTTGAATCCACATTAAGGATTTGAAGAAGGAATTTAAAGCTCTCGAACAAAAACCGGCAATTAAAATGCACTCGGTAGCTTTGTTCAAATTAATTACATGAGCTTCGTCGTTTGTAATTCATTTCACTTGAATTGCTAATTACAGAAATGCTGGAATGTTGCACAACGGAAAAGCTACACGCAAAATAGTAACCTCGTTTAGAGAATAAAATGAGGTGAATAGAAGCGAGAATTTTTGCTTAGGGACGCAAGTCAGTCCCTAACAAATGCAGAAAGTAGCTTTTTAAATAGGAACTACTTCAATTAAAATAGTTACTAGAGCAAGAAGGATGTACAGTGTGTTTGATGTTCTTTTTCTTGTTATGTTGTAAATCAATTTCGGAGGCATGTGTTCAAATTTAAGAGAATAAAATCACTAATACTATAATTGTTGATATTTGTTGAGATAATATCATTAGACCAAGAAGTAAGTTTATTAATACCAGGTGCCATGGCGGCCGGTTTCAGTTAGCCATATCTTGAAAACCATTTTTTTTATATTAAAAATAAATTTATTGTTCATATATTTTTCATCTATGAAATATAAGGAGCTTTTATTTTTAAAAATATTTTTTCCATTTTTTTTATACATCAATTCTTTTCCTATCCTTTTTTTGGTCTTCGAAATTAAAGTGAGATAGACGCAGACGTTACTGTAACGTTACACAAAATAGTCACACACACAGTAGTCCTTGACTTTGGCGGTACATTAAATAATAATAATAAATCACACCACAGAAACTGACATTCTCCCTCTAAGAGTCATTACTAGAGTTTGTGCGAGCACGGAGTGTAACAGGACCGAAGTCAGTTAACGAATGAAAATATTAATATGTTTACATAAATTATATAGCAACCTAGTACTATTTTTACCAAATAGTACTGTTAAGGATAAAATACCTATATAAATTAAGATAACACGTAACAATGGCAACACTTACCCGACAAACGTCAGTGTCGAGATAATGTTTAACCACCGCCATCGCACGGCAGGATGACGGTGGTTAAAACATATTATTATGTGCTTTTCTAAATGTTCTGGAGTGAAGCGGAGACGTTATCACTTAATATTAACTTGTGCATGGAAAAGGACCGTTCAACGTCTACTGTTGACAATGGACAGTATGAGAAATTGTTGAGGCATGAACTATATAATAATATATTTTTTGGTAACTCCTGATATGTACCAACTAAAACTTTACATATATTTTCCAAAATGAAATATCCTGGATTTTTTTTTAAAACGCTTTGCATTTTTTCTTTTATTGTATTACTAACCGGGCGTATATTATTGGCCTCGTACATATTTTTTTGCAGATCACTCATTATTTCAAATTGTTCCTGTAGGGAGAGGGGAGAGTCCATGTGACGCGTATTGATGTCACTACATTGTTGTAAACCCAATCGACATATGCAAGACTTAACGTGCTTTCATGAGGAATTTTTCGGTCCATATATTTTTCTAAAAACATACGTAACTTGGGATTCTCTAGTTTGTTTAACGGAATATTGCTTTCAACAAAGGCTCCTGTAAGTTCATAGAAAAATACGGAGTCGTCGGCGCTGGACGAGGCATGGCTTTTCAGATGTCTTGTTACTTTAGTTTTATCTGAAGAATTTATAATGCGTTCACACACAGTACAAAAAAAGGTAATTTCCTTGAATACGTCCCTAAAACCCTCGGGATCACTGTCAAACCACGTTTGAAATACTTCCCGTCTATTTATTTTCACCTTTGGCATGGTACCTCACTTTATTCACCTCCCCTCAACTAATAATTTTATTGATATTTATAAGTTATTTAAACACACGGCGAATACGTAAAAACGAAATGTATCAACGCGATGCAATAGCAGAGACTGTGTTACAGCGTACCATAAATGTCGTAATGCAAGTTAGCTGTGAAGGCCAACGAGTCAAGGGCAGGACATGTACAGTGTCGGCCCTGTGACATTCGCGCTTGGTAATAAGTAAAGCCGGCAGATCCGGGCGGCGGGCCATCTCAACGGGCCATATCTCAACGTAAATAACAGGGTAAGTTTAAAACATCTCTTTCTAAATTGCAACAGTTTATTGTTTTCATGAATGTTGTTTTTACACATACAAGTAGTAAGTAGTATGACGCGTATGGTTATGGCCCGCCGCCCGGATCTGCCGGCTTTAGTAATAAGTAACAATATTTAATAATGTACTATGATGCAACATAGTTTCTGTGAACATACTAACATTTTCATTCGTAAACTGACTACGGGCCTGTTACACTCCGCGCTCTCTCCAACTCTAGTCATTACAACTGTGCAGAAGGAGAATACACATGGAAAAGACGTAGGACACACAACCAAACCCTGTGTCAGGTGCCAATTGCCACAGACGGGATTCGAACCCGCGCTGATAATAGAGTAATCTCAGAGTCGTCTTCTCACCTGGCGCTTTACCCACTCAGCTATTGCCGCGGTTCGATGGTTCGATTATCATTGAAATAAGGAGGGTACAAAGTCAACAAAAAAATGTGAATCGCCCCACCACAAGGTCACTGACGCATCTGCTAAGTGAGACGTGCCCAATGGGTGTGGAAATTACATCTGTCTTATTTTATCCTTTAGTTTAGGTCTTGATTCCTTCCCCTTTTTTTTTGACTGGCTATTCATTTCATTATACACACTTTAGTTTAGCGGGGCTCCTTTTTCAGGAGTAAGGTCCTAAAGGAACAAATTTCTAAAATAAAAAATTCTTGTCAATCCATCTACGTTGACAGATTTTTGGAATCATTGTTTCGATATGATCTTTTTTTTCGAAAACAGTAAAATATTCATGTTTACATGTGGTTAAATGATTGATAAATAATGAGATCATTTTTGAGGTCGTGCTACCTGTATTTTCGTATTAGAAGCTTCAGTAAGTGAGAAAGTTTGCTTTCTTTAATTAATTAAACAAATTGATTCACTTGTTTTTATCCATGGCTACCTTCCTATTTTAATATAATCTGTTGCAGTGGCGGCTGGTGTAATTTTAAATTCTTGTATTTTCATAAGGAAGAATGGAATCCACGCCAAATTTTAGGGGGTTATTACTAGAACAAAAGGGAAGCTGGAACAACAAAAAAAAACTTCAAACGAAACTTACGAAAAATGCTTTCAAAGAATTGAATGCAGGCTGAAAAATATTTGCAAAATATTTCTTTTATTCAACAAGTAAATGCAGTGTCCTTCTTTTTTTCCTTGTATTTTTCGAAATTTCGAGATCAGTTGATGAACTTTGAGGATAAGCACGATTAGAGAGCCTTGTGATATATATTGAAAGCCTCTTCTCTTTGAAGCTCCTGTGTGTTATTTTTCTCTTATAATTACTCTGCGGTTCGTCTCTGTTCAGCATCCAGCAATAGCCGATAAACATTTTAACTCATCTACCTTGAGATTTACTGTTCGTCCAATAATCTTTACTCAACTTTACATATTGTTATTTTTACATATTTTATATTTTGTAGGTGGGTAGAATCAAAAAAAATTTAAAAAAAATTGAAAACTCGGGATGCAATGTGAATTGGATTTGACTTCCATATTGACTTCTTTTCTGAGAATGGCTGTAAGTGAGGAACAGAAGAGATTGCACCAAGATATAAAGAGTAAGGAGGGCACACAAGAAAGGGTATACTTTATGTATATTCTGGCTGTTGAAGAGAGACGGAACCCGAAAGTAGTTATAAGAAAAAACTCAGAAATTAAAAAAATATCCTTCTTTATTCATTTAAAGCTGTTTTTTTAAAAAATACTTTAACCTAATTAATAAAAAAATAGGCATCCAAACCATTGTATGAGGCTTCCGCTTAGGCCTTGTTTACACCACCGTAAGCGACAATTCCGGCTACGACTACGCACCGTTGGTTTGGGAGTAGCTGAAAAATTTTCAACATTACAAGACATAAGTATGTAAAGTTGCAGTTATCAGTCAGGGTAAATAGTGTCTAGAAGGATGACGTAATATTATCTAGGAATAAAAATATTATTACTTATTTTTGTATCTTTTTAGGTACCATTGGGTTATTGGGTTTGTAAATTTTTTACAAATAGTGATGGGAATAAAGCAAAAATATCATACTCGGTATTCAGTATTTTGAATTTTTCATACCCGGGTATCGATATATCTATCAAAATTAATCATATATCGTAATCAAATGAATACTTTCTCTCAACATCATGTAATCAACAAAAATAAAAATACCCACTTCTTTGGTTTTATCAATAACATATTTAAAAAAAACATTCATAATCGTACCATTAAAAAAAAAGAAAAGTAAACACTATAGAAAGAATGTAAACTACTCTCAAAAAGATTTTTCATCAATTTTTATTTTTAATGGTAAATAAGATCCCTCCATCAATTATTACTATTTATTAACTTACATTCTCTTCCGTCATCACAAATATTGTCCCTAATACTTTTCTCTTTTGCTAAAATGGAACAATCTTTTTATAAACGTTTTTAACATTTTTCAAAAACTAAAAATATAAATTATATATTTTTTTAATATTATAATTTTTAAAAAAGAATGTGTCTTATAACAGACCTTGCCAAAAAAAGACAAGTTAGTAGGTTAAACATTATTTTCGATTTTCCAAATCCCGCAAAACATTGCAATTAAACAGCGACACGCTCTAAAATTTTCCGATTCGTTCCAACAAAACAAATGAATTATCTACTCATAACGAAGTATCATATTCATAGCGGTTCCCATCCCTCTGCGACAGTTTTATCCTTCGGAAACTTATGTCCTTTTTTTCCGAACAAACGGGACTGCCAACATTGCGGCATGCTCGATATTTTTACGGTAGAGACGGTTTTAAGGTATTAAATATGTTTTAAATGTAAACTTTTTTTAAAATTTAAACTTTGACAGCTATACTTCAGGACCTTACTCGGCAGTGGCGCCAACTGGTGAGTACAAAAACGGTAGCCCTCATTGAAAAGGGAAATTGTGCCTGTGTAATCTGTAATGTATTTCAATGCATAAACCGTTTATATTAAGTAAAACCGCTGCTGACGTTACGTATTACGACTCTGCGTCGAGCTGCCCCGAACGATCCTTCCAACAAAATAGTCCCTAATTTGTAATAAAAAGAACCGTATAAATTCTGCATGCCTCAGACGCGGAAATTTCCCGACGAATCCCTCCGGGACCTCCACAGCGGCCTCGCTGAAAAATGACCATAAAAGGGTAAATGGTCTCGGTCTAACCCTCGCACTGAAAATAATACCCCTATCTAAATAAATATTTGAATATTTTTACCGTAATCCCGCCGTGCGTTTCACCCTGTGACGGGGCGACTACTGTTTACCTGCCAGCGGGGGTTGAGCCCTAGGATCGGAGGCTATCGTAAAAAAAACAAAAGGGCCTCGCAGACGTTGTACTTACCTCGCGGAAATCGATACGATTGCTGACTGCGGATAACATGTGTATGCGGAACCGGAGCGCCGACCTGTATATACGGGGTGGTTGCTCACATTTAGATTACCGGGTAAGTATTATAAATGCTAACCCCCTTTTATTTTTGTTACTTCTGGCCGATTTGGTTCGTTTAAAAAAGGTTCGAACGATTTTTAACGTAGAGTCCGAATCTGTTAACGTTTTTTGAAATTTTTGTAAAATATACGAGGTGTGACAAAGAATATGAGTGTTTTAAATGGAACACCCTGTATATTCGTACATATTTCAATTTATGGTTCTGTTCTGAATACAAATATTCATTGGATTAAGGAAATAAATTGAAATTGGATTAAGGAGTTTTTTGAGTAATGATGGACTATGTAAAACAACAAATCTACATATTATCGTATATTATAAGTTGCCTACGAAATCAAATTTTAATTTTGTGTATACGTCGAAGTGGTTAAAAATTATTTCCAATGTCGAAAATTGTTTATTCATAAAATATTTGTCAATTTGTTAATTACACAGGTCTACAAAAAAAAAAGTTCTGTCTTTGCGATCAGACCCATCATTTCCTGTGTATTTTGATGCACTGAAACCAAATTTGGCAAAACAAAAATTACTACCGCATCAATTTTTCTCTCCCACCCCCATATATCCCCCATAAACTCTTATTGAGGAAATTTAAAAAACAAAAAAATTTTTTTTTATTTTTTGGGGTCGCTAATCACGAATCTGAAGTCAAGAATAAATTTCGACTTAATGACAGCTGTCAACAAGCTGTCAAATTTCACTAAAAAGTAAAAAAGTGATATTAAATGCGTATTATTAAGTTTTTTGGGTTGGTGATTACGATTCTGTGGTGAAAAATGATTTTTGACATAATTGATTTTTAATTTCATCGTCATTAAGTCGAAATTTATTATTGACTTCAGATTCGTGATCAGCGACCCAAAATATCAAAATAAAATCCTTTTTAAAAAAAATTCCTCTAAAGGGTTTATGGGGGTTATATGGGGGTGGAGAGAAAAAATGATGCGGTAGAAAATTGTTTTTGCCAAATTTGGTTTCAGTGCATCAAAATACATAGGAAATGATGGGTCTGATCGCAAAGACAGAACTTTTTTTGTAGACCTGTGTTATTTATTATGCATAACTAGCGGTTATCAAGATATATATTATATATTTAACAAATGTCACAACAAAATGTAAAACAAAAGCAGACACAGAAGGATACAAATAAAACAGGAATATCAAACTTACAAACATTAGAAAATAATTATTACATTGCATCTTCAATATAACTTCCATTATTTTCTATGCATTTGAATCATCGCTGTACAAAATTTAATCGGACGCTTTCAAATACCGCTGCATTTTCGTTAATAATATTTACTTCCTGTCGTATGAGCTGTTCTAATTGCACAGTGTCCCCCGATAGTTCTTCGCTATAAATATTGTTCTTGAGAATACCCCAAAGGAAACAATCTAGTGGATTTAAATCGCGGCTTTTTGCTGGCCAATGGATGGGACCATTTTTTCCAATCCACAGGTTATATTTTTGGTTTAAGGAGTTCGTCACAGGCCTAACGCTATGTGGGGGAGCTCCGTCTTGCTGCCAGAGTGTTCTTAAATTTAAAACAACTGGCAAGTTATCTTAATATTCTTCAACTTGTTCTTGCAGTAAGTTAAGATAAACTTCACCTTTGAGAGTATTTAAAAAAATGGACCAATTATTTTGTTTCGGTGTATCCCGCACCATACATTAACAGTTTTACGTCCTTGTTTTTTTTAGTTTTCTCACCAGATGAGCAGTTTCTGTGGCCCAATGATGATCCTGTTAAATAAACCAGCAGTAGAAAAGGACGACTCATCAGTCCAAAACACATTATGCAAAAAATCATGGTTTTCATTATATCTTTCGACGATTTGTTGACAAAACACTGTTCTCTGTCGATGATCATTTTCAGTTAAATGTTGAACAGGAAGGATGTGAAAAGGTTTATATTTATTCCTTTTTTAAGTTAA